ATGGTTTCTTTTGTAAGATGTTTTCAACGTTTACATTCAATTCAAGCCTTTGTATATTTTAGAGCTGTGCAACACTTTAAGTCTTGTATTTATTTTTAGTAAAAATGGTGACAGTTTCATTGTGAACCCCTCTCAAAAAAATGTACCAGAAAAGTTTGATTACCTAGAAAGTGTGTATAGAAACTGCAAATAAACGTGACTGCAATTAAACAACCAGTTTCTCTTGGATTATGTAATTGTATTCTTGGGGTTTCACAAACAGCAAGTGTTTTTATAGGGAACTGGACATAAAGGAAAGTAACTGCTATAGCAAAAGTAGGTGGAAAAAATAATAAATAATGTATAATGAGCTCTAATCTCATTTTGGGTTTTGGGTTTTTTTAGATTTTTAAAAAAGTAATTTCAACACCCAATGTGGGGCTCCAACTCACGACAGAGATCACACACGCTCTACTGACTGAGCCAGCCAGGTGCCTCTCTAATCTCGTTTTGTATTTGAGAGAAGAATAAATTTCCAATAGCTACTATACTTTCCTTGTAGCTCCTCTGTAAGCCAGGAAAAAATTTATGGCTTTAATTTACAATACTCACCTGCTTTGCTTCTAATAATTACTCAAGACTGTGCCTTGTTCCGAAGATGGGCAGCCTCGATATACATATTACAATACTCCACTAAATAAATGTCATGTGCCCTTTATTACATAGCAAATTTATGTCCTGGATAGTGTTCTAAGTGCTTTGCTTACTCAAACTCATGTACTCCCCACATTGTGCCCATTTTACAGACGGGGAAACGCAAGCTCAGAGCCGTTACCTGACTCTCCCAAAGCCATGGGAAGACGAAATGTTGGGGCTGGGGTGAACCCCTGTAAATCTGGCTCCAGGGTCTATGTTACCTCTCCACGAGGTAACAACTTTTTTAAAATAACTTTCCCCCGTTTGTACCAAGCCTCCACAACTAAGGCCCGTCTCCTTCGAATTCCAGCAAAGACAAGCACACCTAGGACAGAGCCAAAGTCGACGTCTGTGATGGGAAGGCGAGAGACAGAATTAGATTTAAAAAACCAAAATTTTCGAAAACCAACCAAAGACAGTGGGCAGGCCGGCAACCGACAGCCTCACCCTGCAGAACCTTCTCTACGAAGCGTCTCCAGCGCTGGAAGGAAAGCCCGCGCGTGCGCGCCAGCGCCCCTGCGCAGCCGCAGAAACACCTCTCAGCATCTGAGGCTCACGCCTCTGGTCTAATGCCAGGTCCCAATCCCACCAGCTTTTGCGAGCGGAAATCTGAACTGGCACGCCCAGCTACAGACGCTCGGGGGCGGGCACTGCCGGCCGCGCAATGGGAAGCAAAGCCCCTCCCCTCGGCTGTCTCCCTAGCAACGTTCCTTCCCCCCCCCCTGCCCAACCATTGCGCAGGCGCTTGCCGGATTGGTTAAGAGCCGTGTGAATAGCCTGAAGCGTGCCGCGTGCTCCCGGATGCGCGCGTATTCCGGAGCTTCCGGGGTCCTCGAGGCAAGCGCCTCATATGGTCCGGCTCGACTTCCGGTGGGAGGACGGTTCGTGAAGCTGTCGAAGTTAACGGTCTTAGGCCGTTGATACTCCGGAAAGCTGGCTGACATTATTCGGGCCCTGGGCCCTTCGGCGGGCAGTGTGGCGGGTTCTGATGACAGAACAGGTCTGTTCAGTGGCACTTTTTCCTCCCTTGAGCTTTCTTGCCCCTCGGTTGTGCGCGAAAAGCCGCTGAGGTACGGTTTGGTTTGACGGTTGGGAAGCTCCCGGGCGGAGCGCGGCGGGGGGGGGTGCTGACAGGATTTGCCTTGAGGGAAGGAAAAGAACTTGATTTTCGGGATCGCGCAGAGGGGGTGGTTCAGGGTGGTTCCCACCTCCTGTCCGGAGAGCAGCGGCTCTGTGCTTTCGAGATTTGGCCGCTTTTTGAGTACTTTGTGCTGACTTTCTGAGAGAAGTAGTTCGTTTTCCGTCCGTTCGCTGCCTCAGCGAAGGTGTGTTGGGCCGGTGGGGGGGGGGGGACGGAGCGCGGAGCGAGGAACTACCAAGACTCTGAGACTTTATATAGAATATTGAGTTTAAAGAACTGATGAACTCGTGAGTTGATTCGTTGGAACATTTTTTTGAGATTGAAACGTTGATTTTGAGGCTTTGTTGGTAACCTCGTTTGATCAATGACAGTGGTCTTCCTGGTTTATTGTATATAGAATATATGTATATAAACGCCGAGGCAAGAGAAAATAAAGGCATGATTGTTTGATAACTTCGTTAGTGATCGCTTCATTCCCTCCTCTCGCTCTCCCCAAATTAGGACTGCTCATGAGTTTTAAACTATATTAATATTTACAAACAGTGATTTTACGAGCAGCTTTTCTTCATGGCGTTCCATAAAAACAGGGCATGGGCTCGATTCAGGGCTGGGTGCTGGGATACAGTTTGGGCGGCATTATCTTCCATCGGGCAACTTTGTGGTCGCTTAAGTTCGATACGGACAGTAGAGTAGTTTTCGGGTGAAACGCTGTTTCAGCCTTAACATTTTCGGTCCGTTGATGAGATAAGTGAATGCTTTGGAACCTTGGAAGCTGAATCTTCAAATGACTTTTTTGAAAAATGCCTTTGAAATGCCTTTTTAAAAAGCCTTTGAAATGCCTTTAAAAATGCCTTTTAAAAAGCCTTTTAAAAAATCAGATGGCTTCTTGTTCTTATGTTATCAAGAGTTTAGGTTTTCTGTGGTAAAATACAAATGAGCTTCATTTTAAGTAAACTCATTTTGCGGGATTTGAGCTTAATGAGTTATTTTAATTAGTTTTGCATAATCCAGTCATGATTGGGCTCTAAGAAATTGTTGCAGAAACTTTTATGAAAAGAAGGGAAAGGAACTAAAATTGATGCTATGCTTGCTGTGAACCAGACATGATACTCAGTGCTTAACTGTATCATTTGGTCTTACACAGCTCTGTGAAGTAGATATTATTCCAACTTCAGGAGTTTAGAAATTGAGGCACAGAGAGGTTAAATACCTGCTTGAAGCAAAACAGCAAATTTTGCAATTTGGATATGGATTAAAGTATTTTTAAAGTCCAGTTCTTTGCATTATGTCCTGGTGTTTAAAATTTGTTTACCAGAAATGGTTGCTATATATGCAGTATACAGGTGCAATGTGAATGAAAATTACATGTTTTGACCCTGAGTATTTATTGTCCGTGTGCTCCATGACAAATAGTTCTGTTGGGAGGATGCTATGAATACCCAAATAATGAAATAACAGTTGCGAACAGTGGGTGCCTTTGCTATGCCGGTCGTGATGGTGAGCACTTGACGTGTATTAATTCATTTAATCCTCTTAACTCCATGTGAGGTCCGTACTATTATCGCCATTTTACAGATTTAAAAAAGAAAAAAAAAAGCACAGGGAAGTCACGTAACTGATAAGTGGAGGAGCTGGGATCTAAAACCGAGGTATTCTGGCCCTAAGCCTAAGGTCTTTAGGCTGTTTGATGTTTCCTTTTCTGTAACGATGACCTCAAAAGCATTACTGTGTGAGTGTTCTGGTACTTTGGGGAAAGCAGTGTCACTTTCGGATGGGATGACTTAGCACCTTTTGCTTTGTGGAGATGGAACTTGAGTTGAGCTTTGACGTTGAATAGGTTCTCCTAGGTGGAGAACCAGCAGGGTATTGTGGGTAGAGGTCATGACAGGAGTGAGAGGTTCAAAGAGTGCAACATTGGTGATTTATAAATGTGCCACAGAGGTAGAAATATCTGGAGTCTAGTCGTGGATTCAGTGACTGCTGCATCTATGTCTAACTACAGCCAAGTTTGGGCTGCAGTGTAATTATCCAGTAGAGAATTGTCTGATTTTAAGAGTCTATAACGGTGGTGGCAAACTTTGTCTATAAAAGGCCAGAAAGTAAATATTTTAGGCTAAGAACAAGGGGACAAGTGGTAAAAGGTGATCTCACTTGAGGGTGTGGAGACTTCTGACTGTGTAAGGACCATGTAGGCTATTGTAGGAGTTCGGGTTTTATTTTTGATAATGTTAGAGAAGGGATTCCAGGTGGTTTTAATAATGAGTAAGTAAAGCCCATTGATTCTGGAGCCAAACTGCACCAGTTACTAGCTATGAGACCTGGATAAATTATTTAAACTTGCTTAGCCTCAATTTTCTCTTAAGAAAAATGGGGATAAAATAACAGAGCCTGCCCCACAAGGTTGTCAGGAATACTAATGAGTTAACAATTGCTTAGAACCTTGCCTGGCACAGGGTCGGCTATAAAATCTGTTTGGTATTACTATCTGTACCTTGTGGTATATTCTAAATTTTCTATAGTAAAACATATGTAATGAAAAATTACACATATAAAATATCAAACAAAATTGTTAGAAATACAATGAGATTATAGGAAATACTATCCGAGTTGGGAAATTTGAATTCAATATTCTTACTCCTTGAGAGTTCAAGTAGAGGTGCGAGACTGCTCCACAGTGTTCTTTGTCAGATATCTGTTAACTGGGGGCTGCTTACGTAGATCATGGCCCATCTGCAAGATAGAAAACGAGAAACTTGTTAGAGTGACTACAGTATATCTAAAGGTATTGGTTTGGGAAGACTTATCCCACCATTGATTATTTTTGCCTGTTTTTGAGCTTTAGATCAATGGAATCATATAGTATGTTCTCTTTTGTGTCTGACTTTTACTCACGTTTATGGTTGTGAGATTCTCCTCATGTGTAGCAAGAGTTGGTTCGTTCTCATTGCTCTGTAGGCTTCCTTTGTATGAAAACACAACAGTTTCATTATTTATTATTAGTCTTATAATCAGAGTAAAACAAATGGTTTAAAAGACAAAAATTGAAGTTATACCTGAAATTGGAGGTTTTGGGGTTTTTTTTTTTTTTTGAGAGAGCATAAGTGGGTGGGGAGAGAAAGAAAGAGAATTTTTTTTTAAATTTTAAAGATTTAGTTATGTGAGGGAGAGAGACAGCACTAGCGGGGGGAGGGGCAATGGGCGAGAAGCCCAAGCAGACACAGGACTCAAGTCTCACAAAGCTGAGATCATGACCTGAACTGAAACCAAGGGTCCAACACTCAATTGAGTGAGCCACCCAAGTGCCTCTCAGCGCCTTGCGAAAAGCAGTTAGGAATTGTGCTCTCTTGTTCATTTTTTCCAGCATTTACTCTGTAGCCTTTCAGTAGTATTTACTTCACAATTTAGATTTTGTGCGTGATCTTGATCCTTATATCTAGGTGTGACAACATAGCTCTTCAGTTTTTAAAGGTTTATTCTAAGTCACTACTGGAAGAGTTACTCTAAAATTCAGCCAGGACTCCGGTTCAGTTTGAGTTGGCATTTGGAGAACATATCCCTATTAAGTTGATGATGGTAATGTGTGAAGTAACTTTTTTATGTCTTGCTTTTTAGGAGTAGGTGGTTTAGCAGCCCTGGGTGACCAGGGAATTTCACAAATAAACCCACCAGCAAGTTTAAATACAAGTAGGGCCCACTCGGAGGAGGTGGAGTGCTGCTGTTGCTCAAAAAAGATGTCTAGCGGCTCCAGTGAAGCTGATGTGGTTTGTATTTCAAATAAATCTGTCTTTGTTCTTTTCACTGTGCTCTATTTCTTTTCTAAATGGAATTTAATTTCATTGAGTGGAATTCAGAAATAACAACTTCATGAGCTTTGATAGTGATCTATAAAGCTGTGACAAACATTCACATACAAATTTTTTGTGAACTAGCATTTCTATCGGGTAAATACTCAGGAGCTGCACTGCTAGCTCATAGGGTTAATTTAAGTAACTTGATGAAAATCTTGCCAAACAGTGCTGTTTGTTTGTTTGATTGTGTTTGATTGTGCTGTTGTACAATTCTGTCACATTCTGCTGTTTCTTGATTCCTGAAGGTAAGTAAAAATATAGATTATTAAATTATATATAATTTGTCTTAACAGAAAAAGCATTTCTTTACTTAAATAAGGATGTGGGTATTAATGCCACCTAAGTGCTGTGGGCAATTCTCTTAACTTCTGTCAGCCCCAGTATCTTTTCATTTTTGGACATAATGTTAACTGCCTACTGAGAATTGCTTTCTGACATAAGTATGTGAAAGAAGTTTGAAAAGCATAAGGCACTGTACATGTTGGTGTTCACCAACATGTATAGTGTTGGCATATACCAATATACATGGTATATTTTTATAAGAACTAATCTATAGCCCTTTCCATATTGTTTTGGTTATGCTTTTTGAAACAAAGACTACATAGCTTCTGTCTTTATTTTAACATTATTCCTATAGTTTATAATTCATTCTTAGAATACTGTATTTAAATGAAATCTAATGCTTATTTGTTGTATATTCATTTATTTATAAACTGTTCTATTAAAAAAAAAGTTTTAAGGTGATTAATTTATCAAGAAAAGTAGGTGCTTAAGTGTTTCTTCTTTTGCCCACAGAGTGGCACTGTTGGATTATCTAAAAATCAAAAGCCATGTAACCTGCTTCCTTGTTCATGGTTAAAAATACTTAGGTTTGCAGCAGTTCTGGTGCCAGGTTCCTAGACTAGTCTTTCGACCCTGAGTTACACAAGAGGTTAAGCCCAATAGAAAATGATATCTTAAATGTAAATGGTATCTTCAATGATACCTTAAGTTCAGATAATGAGAAAACAGTTTTGCAAGTACATCTTTTCATGTAGTCATAGTATTTACAGTGGACAAAGGTCCTTTGATATTCACCAATAGCTTTTGGAGCATCTTAAAAGTGAAATTGAAGTCCTCAGTGTTTCTTTCAGTTCTATCTTTCATCTTTCCTTTTAATTTGTTAATACATCTTCCTTAGATAAGAACACGAATACCTGCTTATGATGATGATAACACTGTTCTTTATGCATATGAACCAAACACTGCATATGTCAATAATGTAAGTAATGTTAATTGCCACTTGTCAGATACATTAACACTTAACCATTTTAAAGAAAAATGTTTAAATTCTTCATATACTGTGGAGTTCCTCTAAACTCAAACCCAAAGAATATTGGTCTCTCCTGAACTTGTTTGCTTCCTTTCATTAGATAGTAACCATATAACCATTTTACTTCCCTTTTCCTTAGGTAGTAGGAAGTTCAGAGCAGTTTATACTCATTTTCAGTACAAAACTTTAAACCTAGGTCCTTCTGATATAATAAATTCTTATTTCCTCTCTCAATTAGCAGTTGTCATTTCCATTTTCGTATTAACGTGAGCTTTTATTTTGTTTCTGCTTGAGATTAAGACTTCTGGATCCTTTTGAAAAGTTGGTGACAAAAACAATTTAAGTAAATAAATGTAAAGTGTCTTTTTCCTTCTGGTGTTGAATTTGGCTCTTATAAAAGTAAAGCATTAACTACTTAACTTTTAAAATATTAGCAGGAAACTGTGATGTCTGACACATCCTACAATGAAGAACAACAAAAAACTGTTGTGGATGTCCTCAATCATTGTCAGGTACAAAATTCTGTTTCTCAAATGTAGTTTACTGAAATACTAAGTTAAAATTCCCTTTATCATGTAAAAGTGTACAATTAATTGAAATTTTGCTATATCAAATTACCTAAGATTATCCCCTCATTGTAATAATTTTTAATAATTTCTAGTTAGAATAGCACCTCCAGGTGAAAATTTTGAAATACCAATATGTACGTTTTATAGCTTTGTTTTAAAAGCCATTAACTGAAGAAATGTATGTTATATTATTTGATATTGATTAATTTTCCCTACAAAATCTTTGAAAGAAATTGATATAGAAAAAAATTAGTATGTGTCTAAATACATTGTTGAGATTTCTCAATTGAAAAAATGGCAGCATACTGTTGTTTTTTAAAGAGTATATCTTACTTAGTTTTGAGGGGATTTTGTAAAAGTTAGCATGCTGGTAGAGATTGATGGGGGTAATTATCAAGGATTTTGTGAGCTGCATCCTCTAGAGGTAATGGAAGCTTATTTTTTAAAAAGTAGTTGTTAACATACAAAGTTTGTTGGATTAAGATGAGCTACCCTGCCTAAGTAAAGCGTGTTTAGTGAGTCTTTATCACTGTTACTGAGAACAGAAGTGGACTGCTTCAAAGGAACATAGCAGGTCTTTGGGGAAGGAGGTACGGAGGGTGGGCGGTGAAAGGGGGGGGTTCTGATTTCCAGCGGGGCCATTCCCGGCCTGCCTCATGTAAGCACCCACGACCCCCCGGGCTGCCACTGCTCTGCCAGGGCCTTCTTTCTGAGCGACGGTGCAAGATGTGGTGAGCTAGAACGTGGAGGAGGAGAAGTGCCCAGTGTCCCGTCACAGCCCCGAAATGGACCATCGGGGATCCTCCCGGTTTCTCCCAGTGTGCGAGCTCTCTCCTTTCTTCAACCCCTTCCCTTACCGGGCTAGACCAGTCGCTGCACACTTCCACCTTTTCTTCTTCTGTCCTTGCCCAGTGTCCTCTTTAGGAAGATTCCAGCCCTGTGCAGGCTGGGAAGCAGAGGGGGCGCCTGCCGGGATCCCTCCACTGTCCCGCGGCCCTTCGCCACACTCTGGTCAGCTCCCTCTCCGTCCCCCACAAGCTCCGGAGGGCCCGGCCCTCGCTTCTTATTTCAGGGAGGCCAAGGTGGGTTGGAGCGTGAGGCCCAAATCCCTCTGAGTCGCAATTCCTCTCCCCACAGCCAGCCACTAGGCTGGGATCTGTCCTTCGGGCATCTCCCTCTATAAGGCTAAGGCGGTGCTGTTTTCTGCCTCTGAGCCTCTTTCCCTGTGCCGGGACGCTTCCCTTCGCCAGTGGCCACGTCCTGGCCCTTCGGCTTCCGTCTCCGTCACTCTCCGCATCCCCTCCCACAGCTTCACCTCCACTTGGGGCCTCCCATCCCTCTTTCTGTCATGCCTTCTCTCTCCTTGCCTTAAAACACCCAGCTCTTTGAACGTCATTCATCTTCACTGTCTACACATCTGACTTCTGTGTTCTCTCTGGGTATTTTGAATCTACTGTTCCTTCTGCCCTCTCTGCCCTTCCATGCATCTTTACCTGGTGAACACCGTCTTGTCTTTTAGTCCTCAACGGGGACATCTCCTCTGACAACACTGCCACGACTGCCAGCCTGGGTCAGGTCTTCCTGTTCTGTGCACACGTGGCCTCCCATTCTTACCTGTGTCGTAGCCATCAGAGTCACAACAATAATGACTATTGATGGGTGGTTGAGCACTACTGGGCGGGTTGTCATGTAGTATTGTTAGGATGGGAGTACTAACATCACACCACAGCGCCTCACTTTGTCCTTGAGAGAACTCTGAGATTCTCATCTGGATTCTATACATGAGGAAATTAAGGCACAGAGAAGTTAAGTGACTCGCCCAAGGTCACACAGCTGATAAGCGGCAGAACGCTAGTCTTTGCACCCAGGTGTGTTCCCCTAAAGCCTGCACGGTTCACCTCAGTGCTGTTGGTCAGTGGGTCACTTGATCATGCACCAGAACCACCTGGAGGGCTCGTGAAAGCAGATCGCTAGCCCTGCTCTCAGAGTTCCCGATTTAGCAAGCGTGGTGTGGGTGATGGGGCATTTCCGACAAGCCAGTAGGAGACATTGATGCTACTGGTCCAGGACCACACTTTGAAAACCACTGCTTTAGGCTGCCCATCACTTTATTGAAATCCTCTCTCCCCAACTCACCTGGCCGTTCCTTAGGGCAGGCTCTCGTGTTCCTGTTTTCCTTTCTGTCCACAGTCCCAGCGCCTAGCAAAGCAGTTCCAAGAGGTAGTAAGTAGGCCCTCAGTAAGTGTTTGAGTGAATGAATAAGGAAATGGTCCTGGCCTCCTGTTTAAGTGTATATTTGGCCTGAATAAAATTTCTGTGTATTTGAAAAATTCTCAGGTTTTTTTAGTCACATACCTGGTTGGCCAATAGGGAACATATACTGGAAGGTTTTATAAGGTTAATTGTTAATTACCTTATCTTTGAAATACTTTGAAGCCAAAAGTCACGTCTGTTATATTTGGCTCACTGTTCTTTCCAGCACAGAATGCTCACTGCCTCTGAATTCTCACCATGGTTATATGGAAAGAGGCTCTTTGGCCTTTTTAGCAGATTTGAAGCTTTCTTTCCTAAAATAGCCCCTTCCTTGATATAAAACGACTCCATCATAAGTATGGTGGCTTATAAGAATGGTGGTACATTTACTTTCCAGTATTAAAGCTTTTTAAAATGCCCGCATGGCCTGGAGTTGTTGAGTAGGAGGTTGGGCTCCTTATCTCCATCAGCTCCGCTCTGTGTCACCAAAACCAGGCATCTGGTTCTGACAGCTTGAGAACTTTTCTTTGTTTCTAGCAGTCAAAATTTGGCTTATTGGTATTCTTATGTTATTTTAGAATAGAAACTATTAATAGCTTATATTATAATAGGTCATCTATGATGCTATTCAAAACCTGGATAAGAAATTTGATGTCATTCATGGAAAAGTTTCAAAAATCCACCGTTTTCGTGTGAAATCACTGTGGCAGAATCGCGTGAGTGTTAACAAAAATATTTTCACAACTGCAATACACCTCTTGCTTCTAAAGATGCCATTGAGTTAGAAATGAGAGAGAACTATTAACTATGAGATGAGCAAGGCCAAATTGATTCTTGCTGTAGCAGCAGATGGGAGACTGAAACTTGTTGGGAAAATGCTTAAGTTTAGGTTTGAGAAGTGTATGACAATGAATAGTTTTACGTTTATAAACACAACGTATAAAATTCAGTTAAAATGTAGGGTTGAAGAGGAACAAAAATCATATAATCGAAATAGAGCATATATATTTAGTAATATAAAGCAGTGTTTCCTGAAAAAAAAATTTATATTTACTACTTATTTTATTTCCTTTTTTACTCACTGACAGTTAGTTTATGCTGGGTTTGTGTCATTTCAGAAGCCACTTGGATATGCTTATAAAAATTATAATTACCTGCTTTCCAGAAAGATCAGATTGCAGAAATTGAGGAAGAAGGAACCTCCTTCTTCATTCTCTTACCCTGAAAGTTATAGCCCAACTATGCCGGTGGAAAGGCCCCCAGATGATTCCCAGAGCAATCCTATAGGATCACCCTACCGTTCAGAGGAGGGGTCCCCAGAACGGGATCCAGAGTCATTCCTCCCTGAGCAGGAGCCGAATCTGAGCCAGAGTCCAACACTTCCCTCCATGTATTCTTCACATTCATACCAGCCATATTTCACACCTGATGATCCGATTCAGGGCTCCTCTACCATCGTGCCCTACTGTCCCAGCCCAGGGCCCAATACCAGCCACATGTTCTCACCTACTCGAGCTTGTACAGTAGCACCCGGATCCATTCTGGGTCAAGGTGAGCCCAGTCCGACGCATAACCCTGAGATGATGACTTATCCAGCTCTAATGGAAAATAAGTGCCTCGGCCATACTGCCTCATCTCTTTGTATCCCGCCCAACTTTGGTGAGTGTGAAATGACACATGACAAGTAGCACTATTTGATCTATAATCCTCAACGTCCTTGATGCAAGGGCATTTCTCCCTACCTAACATCTCTTCTTTTGGGATAATGATCAGGTCAAGTTTGATTTGTCTTTTTCCCCCATTGAAGCTACAAGTTCACCAATTGGAACTGACCCAGGTATCCTAAAACAAAGCTTCTCGGATGACCCTTCAACCTGGTCTGTGGAGGAAGTGATCCAGTTTCTGAAACAAACAGATCCTCAGACATTCACATTCGCCATCGCTGACCTTTTCAGGCAACATGTAACGTATATTTTGATTTGGTTTTCCTGCCATAATGCTTCTTTCTTTCTTTCTTTCTTTCTTTCTTTCTTTCTTTCTTTCTTTCTTTCTTTCTTTCAGTAAGCTCTACACCCAGTGGGAGGCTTGAACTCACAACCCCAAGGTCAAGAGTCGCATGCTATAGGACTGAGCCAGCCAGGCACCCGTGCCATAATGCTTTTGAATGACCTCTGTCTAGGCCCTTCAGTTGGGTACTGATTAGTGTGGATGGTGGGGGAACCCTAGCAACTGATTTTCCATATGTGAGAAAGGTTACTTGGTCCAAAGTTAGCTCCTTAAATGGTAGAGGCTGGATTTAAATAGGAACAGTGTGACAGGGTGTCCTCTTTGTTATGATTCCCAATGAAGCCAGCAACTGATCCCGTTTGGCTCAGTTCTATTAACCTTATATGGTTGTTGATGGTTTGGGATGCTGATAGCCTCATGCCATTTACAAAGTAACATCATGGGTTACATTTTTTATAAGTTCTAATTTTTATTGTACTTAGTAGGAAAAGTACAGAAAGTGCCTGAGAAAGGCAGCACTGTAAGGGGTTTCAGGTCTTTTCAGACAGTACAGTTTTATTTTTAGACCAGAACTTGTAAAAACCAAGTAATATGTTTCAGCAACATCAGTCAGTCTATTAGTGAAGAACTTGAGGAGGATGCCTTGTGACTATGAAGTCATGTTTTTGTAGTGTTTCCTGATGAATAAAATTAGTAGCCATACCCTCTTTGATATGGCAAGAAAATAGTTTTTAAGCATCTAATCAACTTCAGACAGCTAACTGATTAGCTTTCAACATCAAGACAGCACTCTATAGCATGTGTATAGTTCGTATGGATGCTAACACCCTCGTATTCCAAGCTGTTCTAAGATAACTAATGGCCATCTGAAATCCATTTCTACCATTCACAGTTTTTACTCTGTCATAGATATGCAGTATTTTATTCAGCACAATATTTAAAGGTAGGTAGTTTGATGCTTAGGACATTTTTAAGATTTTAGGTTAGGGGCGCCTGGGTGGCTCAGTTGGTTAAGTGTCTTCCTTCGGCTCAAGTCATGATCCTAGGGTCCTGGGATCAAGCCTTGTGTCTGGCTCCCCTTCTTGCTCTCCCTCTGCCCCCCCCTTACTTTGTGCTTACCCTCTCTCTCTCAAATAAATAATATACATTTTTAAAAAGATAATAGGTTAAATTTTCTTCCTAAAATTCAAGGTAAATTTATAAATGATCAAACCATGCTTCATTGTACAAATTATATTTTTAATAGTTTCCATCAAGCAGGTGTATACTCAGAGAATATACATCTGGAAGGAGCTGCTCTATTATTGGTATCACATGTTCATATAATATGAAGAAAGGACCATTCTGATAAAATATGAACCTATCAACTAATCACTGTCCTTTCCTTCTGTCTGTAGGACATTGACGGAAAGGCTCTGCTACTACTAAAGAGTGACATGATGATTAAGTACATGGGGCTGAAGCTGGGGACAGCCCTGAAGTTGTGCCACTACATCGATAGGCTTAAAGAAGAAAAATTCTTTGTCAACTGAAAACATGTTTGTGTCAATTTAGCTCGATCTTCATTCAGGGGAGACCAGTGCCATCTTGGTGTAAAATCATTTTTCTGCCCTTAGAAGTTTTTGTTGTGTAGAAGGTTCTTCTAAAAACTATGTTCTGTCCAGAATTGCAGAACTCCATTATAGTCTGGTCTACTCTTTCAGAAGCCATCTAACATGTGAGCATTGGCGGTTTGTTAGATTGGGAGTTTTTTCGTTATATCTTTTTATTATTTTTATTGCATAGTTTACAATTGTACTTCACACAGGAAACAGAAACACCTCTAATTTCTGTTCATCTTTATCTAAGGAACCAAAACAGCTGAATCCCAAAGAGAAAATATCAGGGCCTGAAAAGTTCTCTAGTAAATCCATGGATTTTCCTTAGAAGAAAACTTAAAAGATGCAACTATAGATAGCATCTTTCTAAAATCTTTTATGTTTGTTACTGCAAGCTTCTGTTCATGTTCTACCAGCTTCCCAAAAGGGAAAGCCATATAAAGTATTTTCCTTTCTATTATTATTTCTATATATGTTGTATTTGTTTCTATTTAAAGAAAAAAAGGCAACCTTATAAGCTTTCTTAAAGTATTTTTACCAATTTTTAGATAAATTGTTAGAACGGTCATTTTATGCAAGAGATACTTAGTTTACAACTTAACATATTTTACCTAAGCTTGGACATTTCACTAGGCACTCATTGCTCCCATCTCTCTATAAAGATGCCTATGTCCAAATTTTTGAAAGATACGTTTTTATTGTCTGTGTTCATAATGATACTGTTTCATATTTATATTTTATTCTATATCTGAAGTATACACACAAGTAAGTCTTCTTTTTGAATTTAAGGATAGCACTTTGCACTTCACAGAGGTAAAGATGAACTATATCCAGTGAGATGTTTTTATTCTGTTAAAAATATTCACATCATCTGCCATCACTAGTACCTCTCAGCTGACTCTTCAGGGTTTCCATACAGGGAAGCTCTCTGTCCTGTGCAATGTTTCTAGTTCATTTGCTTTCTGAGCCATTTATCCTACTAAACTTTGAAAAATACATTAGCTCTAATTTGTCATTTTGGACTTTATTTTAAGAATTAGAAAATTAGAACATTCAAGTGAAACCTGTTCATTGTTTTATTTATTACCTTGTTATATTATATAACATTTGATATAATATTTATAAGCTGTGAGAATTGGTGCTAAGTGTATTAGCCATTTGTTACAAATGCCAATAAAATGTTCACCAGGGGCAAAAATACACATCTTACTTTTCAAAAACCAAGTGTGCTTTATAAACAAATGCAATTCTTTACTGGGCATATGTGACTTAAAAGGTGCTTTTATTTATGTTACTCATTTATGTTGTTTCTTGTAAGACAAGATTCTATTTTAAACTTGATCTTCTCTCAAATTGTGTGAAGATGCTGTGCCCAGCTGAACAGTCCTCAGGTGTTTGTATGAATACTATGTTTTACAGTTTCAGATTTTAAAATATAATAAAGTTTTAAAACCACAATAATGTCAAGGCCTCAGATTTGATTTTGTTTGCTTTCACTACATGACATTAATGTACGAATTTATTAGAGTTGATAAAGAAATGCTATACCAAGCTTGTGGTTGTCTGCGTTGAGTGTTAACACTTGCCCTCATTCTACAGATAAGCAGATCACTAGCAGCGAAGGGCTGATGTCCTGCAGGACCTTAAATGAGCCCCCAGGGGAGCAGCACGAAGTTCCATCCATGAGCTGTGTCTGTGCTCAGCACTTGCCGCTCGCCGTGGTACTGAGGATGCGAGTGCACTAGAAGAGGCCAGGGCCCCCACAAATCTCGTCCCCGTCCCCGAGCTCCTGCGTCTGCCTGCGGTTCTGGCTGCTCTTCTGTCACCGGGGGGCCAGGAGCCACACTGCCTTTCCGCCTTCAGCTCTCCCAGCTGACAGGGTGCAAAAGCCTTAGAGGCTCAGGACGGGGGCTGCGTCGCCTTCGGCACCTGACTCCTTGCCCCTCTCGGCTATGCCAGGAGCTTCTGCTCCACGCCTTCAAGCCCACAAACTCCTCCCGCTGCAGCAGCACGTCTGCCGGTTGACACGGTCCCCACCGAGCCTCCAGGGCTGATGCTGTAGTGGCGGGAACGGGGTGTCACTGTGCTTGTCTGGGACTTGGGTGATTCAGACCCGCTTGCTCTCGGCCATCCGGCTTGTCAACTTGTAGCCCAGGGACGGTCTAACGCGTTAGGCTCTCGGGAACTCTCCGGGCTTTTAAAATGATCTTTCCTCTGGTTCTGCCTCTCAGGCCATCCTTCCCACACCAGCGGGCGGAATTCTGCAAGCTGACCGCGGCAGCCCTCTGGGCGCATGGAGCGTTTGCTTTCGTCTTTGCGTGATTTCTGATCGTTGCGGCGGCTCCCGAGTGTGTGTCCAGGGTGGGACTTCCCAGACTTAAACCCAGGCCCCCACTGTAGGCATGAAAAACCCAGGCCCTTCTGTAATGCGACTAGAAAAGAACTGAACCTCATGATGAGGAACGATGTAGTTGGGAGGAAAAGCCCCGCTTTCCGAGCTACGAAGGGATCGCGTTCACAGCCGGCTGAGTGCGTGAAGTACGTGTGAACTTCCGGGGCTGCTGCTTCGCTGAGATGCTGGGACTCGCTTGTATTTCGCAGTCCTCTGAGGCTGATCCGGGGAACGAGGGAGGGAGCCAGGGAGGGCTCTCGGGCACGGGGGACGTGCAGCCCGGGGCCTACGTTCAGAGTGCGTGGCAGACGGGTTCCGTCCTCGACCTCCCGACGTTTCCCGTTTTGTCCTGAAGGTTGATGAAACTGAACCTCGAAAGCAGCTCTCCACGGAGGGTCCTCAGCCCGAGCGTCCCCACTCTCCTTACTCTTCTAGAAGCAGCTTCGGACATGCGGGACCACCTGCTTCGGCTCCAGGGGCGCTGGCAACCCGGGGGGCGAGCCATAAGGAGTAAGAGACCTACTCCTCGCCTCAAGCTGCTTCCACCACACGTTGGTGACCCAGCGTTCGTGGAAAGGAGCCTCAGGAAACTCATGATAGCGCACGTGAGCCAGTTCCTGGCGACTGTGAGGGCTCAGTGTCCTAACACTCCAGTGACTGTGTCCTGCTCTTCAGCTAAAGAACCAAAGCACATACCTAAGCTTGTTTGTTCGCAGAACTAACCCCTCAGGGGCAAGGGGCAGGCAAGGCAGGCTACGGTCCTAGGGAGCCCCACCCCACCTTTGGCCTCACTGTTGCACTTGCCTTTGGTGGGCCTGTGGTGCTCAAGTTCACCGATGTCAGGGGCTGGGGTCTGTAGACTCCGTAAGGCACAGCAGTCAGTCCAGTGAGAGAGGGAATATATTACACCTTTTTTATGTTTAGAGAAGGTGAGAGAAATGAAGCTCCTTCACGTTGAACGTACGGACTGACCAACATGCAGTGTTTTGGAGCGCTAGCTGGTGTTGACACGCCCCACACCCCCGGCCTTGCTGAGTTCTCCCCTTTGTGGCCTGGAGGCCGCATTTCCCAGGCCCCCTTGCCAGCAGTGGGAGTTAGAGTCCCCCACAAGGGAGAAGGCAGACAGTAAACAGAAGCAGTTTTCCTCTGGTGGCTGCTCAGGACAGGCCTTTGGCACAGCAGAAGGCAGATGTGCATTTGGCCAGTGGCCACCAGATGTCATCTGGAGACCTCTCCATGTCAGGCACACAGGTGGCTGAAACCACGGGGGGTGCTTCCTGGCAACCCTTGCACGCCTGGATCTCTGGGAGCCACATCCATTGTCCTGGCCCCCTGCCCTCCAGTGACTGCAGAAGCTTCTGGTTCTGTACCCCACCACTTCCGTTCTGAAGACGTAGGACGTTGCATATGCCCTCTCAAACCCGGACTTGTCTACCTCCTTCAGCGGGTTGCCCCAGAGAAGCTGCCCACTGTTGGGAGGGAGGAGTAGAAGTTCCACAGTGAAGGGCCTTATGTAATCAGATCTGAGCCTCCTTTGGCTATAAGACCCGCTGTCATTTAATGGACCAAATGGGTGAGAAGAAGGTGGCCTATTCAATCAGATGCCATGGGCATCCCTGTCACTAATTCCATAGATGTTAGGAGGTGGGGAGAAGTGAGTGGGTTAAGGCATACAATTTTAGCTCTCAAAAGCTGAACAGATTATTTGAAAAGGATAAAGCAAAGAAGCAGAGAACTCAAGACTGATCACGTGAGCCCAGTGCCCAGCATGAAAGGGCAGCCCTGGTCTGAGCTCAGTAACAACCACAGCACAGATGAAAACGGAGCAACCTAATCAGATCTGCCGGAAATTCGCAATTTTCGAGACTCTGAAATGTGAAAGTGTAGCCAACAGCATAAGCAGAAGCTCTTGCCACGAGCGTCTATTTTGTCTTTAGGCATCAGCTGATGCCAGACAGAAGCCGTCACATTTAGCAGGTCATTTAACAATTTCCTTGCACCCACCAAAGAAAAGAAAGAGGAAGTTGCCACGATCGTAGATTAACACAGTCTTAGACACATGCATGGATCCTGTTTAGATCCGGCCTAAGAGAAGCCAACAGTAAAAAGGCGTGTATGAGTCAGTCCGGGAAAGGCAGGTGCCCAGTGGATATTAGATGAGTGTAAAGAGTTATTCCTTTAGGACAATGTGGTCACAGCAGACTGATGGTGACCAGAAATGTCTGTGCCCAAGAAGACCCAAAATTGGATCTTTGATAAATAGCCAGCAGTCTCAACCATATATCGTGATCCTAATGGCAAAACCTAAGACACTCAAGACCTCCTTGGTCTTGGTCTTCCTGGATCCTCCCCTCCCCGCATTCCACTCACACACCTGGCTCCTCTGACTTCTCCGTAGCCCTTACACGTGGGGTTGGTTATATTATCGTTCCTAGTCCTTGCCTCCACCTTTCCCTGTAAGAGGATCTTGCGTTGCCTCCATTGGCATGGGCTTACGGTTCCTTCTTACAGGCAAAACCTACTGTCTGTGCCCCTGTTGGCCCTGAACCTTGCTCTGGCTGAAACGTAAGTGGCCCAAAGGCACATCAAGCCCCAGCAGAAGCTCTCCGGTGGCTTCTTGGTCATCTGTCTCTCTCATTCCCCTCTGCTGCAAGCCCAGCGTGTGCCATCCAGGGTCTGCGTCTTCAGACCAGCTTCTGGAGCAAGAAGGCCTGTGGGGTGGGGCCAGGCCATCCCGTGCCTCCTGCAGAGAGTGTCCCTAAGAAGTCAATGTGCGCAGTGTCCTGGGTCTGGGGGACTCAATACCGCAGCTCAAAAATAGGGTGGAATGTAGCTAAGGCCCTTGCTGACATCTTGTTTATTTGTACCCTGGCTGTCTTCCCCACCGGAAGGAGCTCTGCGTAAGGACAGTGAGCCTCACTCACTTGTTTTGCGCGCCAGCAGTGTCTGTCCTGAAGGGCCCCTGACCAAAGTACGGCCCTGCTGTTTGTGGACTGACTCCTCCCCCTGGGGAATCAAGTTTGGCTTGAGTTTTCTTGGCACCAAATTCACCCCGAGCCTTTTCCCCAGGTAGTTAGTACTGTAAACTGCCATTTGGCCTTTATTTCATTTTCCAGTTGGTTTTACATACCTAGTGCCAAGCACTGGAAGCCCAGGGAGAAAGAGTGAGTTACTGGAGAACAGTGTCTCCGAAGAGAGTGAAACACTGAAATTCCCAAGCAGTTATCTAATTTAACACAGCATTTCTCTAGCGGCCCTGAGTCCCTCGTGCTTGCCTTCCTACTAAATATCTGTAAGGAAATGAAAATGAGGAAAACGCACACTGGCCCTGAAAACAAAGATGGGTAGGCTTGCACCTGCTGGGGTTTGGGAAGTATTCCTACTCACTCTAAGTATTCCTTCTCACTCCGTAAGAAAATTCCTGTGACTTCCATTTCCACACATCCTTCATCCCCCGGCCCAGACACGTGCGCATGTCTGGCTTCTGGGCGCGCATTACAACCCAGGGCAGCTGCAGATCTCACCGAGCATGGGCCTTTGAGCTCTATCACGCTCTACCCTTGCTTTTCCCTTCACTTACATCCATTCCCAAACAGCCAGTGCACTGTGTTCAGGAAGGAGGCGGAGGGGAGCGGCACTCTTTGGGGGGGGGGCGGAAGACCCCATAGGCCGAGCACTGCAGGTGGAAGCCAAAACAGGAAGAGCCCTGGCAATTTCTGGTAAATTCTAATGAGTCTTTTAAAAAGTGGAGGTGGGAGGAAGCACCCCCAGAAAGGGGGTAAACGACAAGCAGGCTTCTGGGTGTGCAAGAGTGAAGGTAAGAGGCGAGATCCCTGACCTGAGGCACCTTCCCGCCTATGTGGGAAGAGAGCATGAGAAAGCTCCAGAGACTTGGGTCCCTTAGAAACGTACAACATGTGGCAAAACTCAAGTAGGCAGGAGATGCACCAGATGATGTTTGCCTGCTGGGTGGAGGATGAGCCCCTGCCGGAGGAAGGGTCGCTGTAGCCCAGCCCAGAAGGATGATGGAGGGGTGGGGTGGGGTGGTGAGGAGGGGTGCAGCAGC